TATAAAATAAAATAAATAATGCAACTAACTTCTAACATTCGAATTCCAGATCCACAAAGCTACAGTAAAATCTCAACTAAGCTGTAACAAAAATCGGCATTAAATACGTTAGATTACGGGAATAAAACCAATTCAATTAAACTGGTGCATTTACACATAATCAGTGGTTAAACGCAGAAAAGATCACTTGCTAGAATGTACCTATGAGTCCATGCAGCAAAGTATTCAATGCAACAACGCATTATCCCGTGATATGACCGCCTTCCTCCTGGTCGCTTCTTGACGATGCCTTCTTTCTCTTTAGGCCCCAAATTTGCAACAAAAGATATTTTGCTCACTTCCAGAAATTCGCGCTAAAACGGATTATTACCAAAGTAATTATAATTATCATCATAATGGCACAAACAGCTGTGGCACCAGGAACATTAAAGTATCAGCAAAATGAGCATGCAAAAACAGAAGCATGCCACAAATCTGCGACCTGTTCACCTGGTTGTGAAAGCCGAACATTTCACTCGTTACTATCGTCTGTGAATTGACAAATTAGCCTATGACATGGACAAAAACTACCTATGAGAATTCATTTGTAAGCTACAGTTCAACCCACCAACTGCAAAGGTTTTAGATCAGCCAAACCGACAGAACGCCAAATTATAACTTCGTTTCGAAGAATTACCATACCGTTTCTTTATGATTCCGATAGTCAGAAAAATGCAGCATTACATTCAGGTATCTTTCCACTTTCTCCTAGAAGGTCTATGCATTAGCAGACTTACTTCAACCATTAGTTTCATACTTTAGATTCTTCTTCATCCAGAGCGGCAACAATCAAGTTGTTCCATGCTGAAAGCTTGGGCAGTTTACACGTTTTCTTTTCAAGACTCTTCGGCGTCTCTCCTCGGTCCTTGCATTCCTCGTCACCCTTAACCGGTTCAACGATGTGCGAATGTCGATGGTCATGTCGAAGAATGTTTCCCGAAGTTCCTGTTGTTCCATCCCCTCGATACGAAATTCTAGCTACTCCTTCTTCGAATATCGCCGGGGTACTGCAGTCAGGGGAACTTTCTGTTTCTGAACTTTTCTCTAGAACTAGATGTTCTAATCTAAACAAAATTTTACCATTAATAAAAATATATTTCACAAATAACGGCACATTCTTTTTGTCAAAAAAAATTTAAAGGCGCTTATCATATAATATGCTACTGCTTTTAAATCCTCGAGTCCTACGCCTTTCCAAATCAACTGACGATTTGTTCAACAAAAATAAAACAGAGAATGCAAAGTATGCCATCACATAAACATAGTGCGCGGAGAATGTGGAATTATCAACTGAATCTGAAG